ATGGCGGAGTTGAATGTTTCGCGGTGGCTTCTCTCCCAGCCGCGGCCGCGGCTGCTGCAGTGGCTGCTGCCGCGGCTGGGAGCGGGGGAGCTATCGTGAATTTTTCGCGGTGGTTTCCTTTTTCCAGCCGCGGCCGCGGCTGCGGTCGGGGCTGCGGCTGCGGCCGTGGCTGGGAGGGGGGAACTATCGCGAATTTTTCGCGGTGGTTTTCTTTTCCCGGCCGCGGCTGCGGTCGGGGCTGCGGCTGCGGCCGTGGCGAGGGGGAAACTATCGCGCTTTTTCCCGGAAAGGGCAAAGGCCCAGGGTTCTCTTTTAGTATGTAAACATAGTCCCCCGTGCCCAACTTGAAGGAGGCCGGCGAAAATATTCCCTGATAAATATCGAGGTCGAAGGAGGCCGGCGAAATTATTTTTGAGGATGTCTCGAGCGAAGCGCTTGTTTTTGAAATCCCGATCGATAAATCACAGGGTGCGGGCCACTTTTTCGCGCGTTGAGGATGTCTCGAGCGAAACGCTTGCTCCGCAGAGTTTGCCGAGGATGTCTCGAGCGGAGCGCTGGATTCGCTGAGCCGACCGCGACGCGGAAAAGCGCCCCGCGCGAAGGAATTTCGATGATGTCTCGCGCGCGCCGGCGTCCGCGGCGAGGAATTTTCGAGGTGTCTCGACTAATTCGTTTGTTTTCTAGGATCCTCTTGGGATTTTGTGGGAAATTCTCGAGCGAAATGCACGAACCCCCCCAGCACACGACCCACCCCCAGCACGACCCCACCCTAGCACGACCATACCCCAGCACGACCACACCCCAGCACGACCAGACCCCAGCACGACCCCACCCCAGCACGACCCCACCCCGGCACGACCATACCCCAGCACGACCACACCCCAGCACGACCCGACCCCAGCACGACCCTACCCCAGCAAGACCACACCCCAGCACGACCACACCCCAGCACGACCTCACCACAGCACGACCACGCCCCAGCACGACCACGCCCCAGCACGACCACGCCCCAGCACGTTTTTGACCAGCCCGACAATCAACGCCTAGATTGGCGACGAATCCCCCCAGCCGAACCACCCCCCAGCACGACCACCCCCCAGCACGACCACACCCCAGCACACGACTTCTCCCCAGCACGACCACGACCCATCAACGACCACACCCAGCACGACCACACCCAGTCGCACCCCCGTGGAAATGTTCGGTGTGGCGTCTGGTTGATGTGGGTGCCTGTTCGCGGGGTGTCTCGTGGAATGTTTCACGGGGTGTTTCGTGGAATGTTTCGTGAGGTGTCTCGTGGAATGTTTCGTGAGGTGTCTCGTGGGATGTTTCGCGGGGTGTCTCGTGGGATGTTTCGTGAGGTGTCGCCCAGTTGGGTATCGTGAAAACGTGACCATGCTGCGCGTGTCTATATCCCTTTCCGGGTTCGTGGATCCATCATGTTTCGCGGTGGTTTCCTTCTCCGGGCCGCGGCCGCGGCTGCGTCCGCGGCTGCGGCTGCGGCCGTGGCTGGGAGGGGGAAACTGCTGAGATGAATGTCGGCTCCTAAGGGTATGAAGGTGGTTGGAGTGCGCACTAGACCCACCTGCAAGCCAGCAGCATGATGCTATAGCTACGTAGCTTGTTTGTCATTTTTAGCTAAAAAGTCCATGTGGATTTCCATGAGCCAATATAGACAGTCGTAGAGGTTCAGCTGTTGTTAAGTAGGTTATTGGTTCAACAGAGCTTTTCATAGTATATGTGCTAAACTGCTTATCGAATGCTCAACGTAAATGGTTATCGTAGATTTACAGAAGAACTAGTTTGTTTTAACATCGAACTTCGGCCTATGCTAACACCCAAGAAATCCGTTTTCAAAGATTCAATATGTGCATTTTCGTGTTTAACATGTAGCTTCCAGCACAACAACATGTAGCTTCCGAAGCGTTGCAAGCATGAAACCCATGCTGGGCCACAAACGCAAAAACACGAACCAGCGTCGCATATTTGTCAGGATTTGAACATCGAGTTTGGGCCAACCGTGTCTGCACGCCCCATCATTCGGGCAGTCGAATTGTGTTCCGCGTGGTTCTTAGCCTTGCAAATCCATATTGCAGCTTCGGTATCACCCCGCGAATCGCTTCAGGGCCCGTTCGGCCATGGCGCATGCCATCATCATTTTTCCCGGAAAGGGCTTAGGCCCAGGGTTCTCTTTTCCTATGTAAACATATCCCCCCGTGCCCAACTTGAAGGAGGCCGGCGAAATTATTCCCTGATAAATATCGAGGTCGAAGGAGGCCGGCGAAATTATTTTTGAGGATGTCTCGAGCGAAACGCTTGTTTTTGAAATCCCGATCGATAACTCACAGGGTGCGGGCCACTTTTTCGTGTGTTGAGGATGTCTCGAGCGAAACGCTTGCTCCGCAGAGTTTGCCGAGGATGTCTCGAGCGAAACGCTTGTTTTGCAGAGCTGACCGCGACGCGGAAAAGCGCCCCGCGCAAAGGAATTTCGATGATGTCTCGACTAATTCGTTTGTTTTTGTACGATTTCCTGGAAAATTGTTGGGGGCATTCTTCTTCGAGCTAGTGATTATGTGTTCAAAGACCCACGACACATGCCCCTGCACAACCCCGCACCCGCGCGACGGCCCCAGACGCCCACCCCAGCACGACCCCACCCCAGCACGACCCCACCCCAGCACGACCATACCCCAGCACGACCACACCCCCGCACGACCCGACCCCAGCACGACCCTACCCCAGCAAGACCACACCCCAGCACGACCACACCCCAGCACGACCTCACCACAGCACGACCACACCCCAGCACGACCACGCCCCAGCACGACCACGCCCCTGCACGACCACGCCCCAGCACGACCACCCCCCAGCACGACCACCCCCCCAGCAAGACCACCCCCCAGCACGACCACCCCCCAGCACGACCACACCCCAGCACGACCACTCCCCAGCACGACCACACCCCAGCACGACCACACCCCAGCACGACCACACCCAGTCGCACCCCCGTGGAATGTTTCTGCGTGTCCTGGTTGAGTGGTTGCCTGCTCGTGGGTGTCTCGTGGAAATGTTTTCACGGGTGTCTCGTGCACTTTTTCGTGAGGTGTCTCGTGGTAAATGTTTTTTCGTGAGGTGTCCTCGTGGGATGTTTCGCGGGGTGTCTCGTGGGATGTTTTTGTGAGATTTCGCCCAGTTGGGTATCGTGAAAACAGGCCATGCTGCGCATGTCTATATCCCTTTCCGGGTTCGTGGGCCCATCATGTTTTAAACGAGCGTGGGCTTTGAATGTGCGGATAAGAGGGGGGGGGCATGCAATCCATCGGGTGGATGAGGGGCCTGGAACGCTTTACTTGCGATGCATACGTTCATCATTGCACTTGCATGTGCCTCCCGTCGTTTGCAGCCGCCTCGGCTCATAGCATCAGCTGTGGGTTTCCAGAGCTTCTCACTTACGTGCTCAGCTACCGCGTGTGCAATGGCCGAGCTTAGCCAAGCTTTCAAACAGGAGTTCCAGAAGATTTTGGACATGGAGAAAATGAAGGCGAATGAGCATTTGGATAAGCTTATGCAATGCCTTCGCGGGCACAAGCTGGTTTGCACAGTGGGCCACATTCCTCCGAAGCTTTTCCTCGCGCGTGCGGTCAATGGGGGGGGGGGGGGGGGGGGGGGTGGGGGGGGGGAGGGGGGGGGGGGGGGGTTGGGGGGGGCGGCTTTTGCTGAGCCCGCGTAACGTGCACCGCAATGCTGCTAGGATCCACGCGTGCGGGGCTGACATCCGCCAGCTATCAAATGCCCTGCGCATCGAGCTTGGGGTCGCTTGCCCCCTCCGCTGGACGCACATCGGTAAAAATAAGCAGCTGGTGGATCGAGCCCAAGGGCTTCTAGCGCCTATGAATGGGTCAGAGCGCTGCGTGACAGTCGGGCGTGGGCACGCCGCGGCTTTCTGTAAGCAGGCAGGGGTCCAGGGCAAGGCGTCTCAAAAGTCATTGCAATGCATTGACTCAGACATGATCGATATGCAAAAGCTGTTCCACAACGAGCAGTTCAAAATCATGATTGGCGAGGGCTGGAAGTGGGAGGTGGCCCCTAATGTGATCGACGAGCGATTTCCACGCTTCGCTGTTATTGCCCAGAGGGCTTTGAACACGCAGAATCACGTCGGCACTGGGGTTGGGGAGCTTGAGACTTGCATGACGTTGGCGGCGAGTGCCAATGGCCCAGGGATGCGTGAGCTCGAGAGCTGGAAAGAGTTGGCAATCGAGAGCGTTGTTCCGCTTAACGTGCCGAACGCCAAGTGCAGCAAGACTTTGCTTGAGTGTGTCGAGAATTTCGGCGGTGGCGGCGGTGCTCCACTCGTGGCGTTCATGGATTCGATTGCAAAGCAATTTGGTTGCAATGTTACGCTTGGCCAAAGTTTTTGGGAAGCGCTGACTCACGCAACTTTTTCGCCCACAACCAATTTGCATCCGTTGGTGCGGGTGTCGCTTGCTATCGCGAACCTCGCTGGCGACAAGGTTGAGAACGGCCTGGCGCGTTTGCTGGTGAAGGCTGACGTCTCGAAGGTTGCAGGCAAGCCTGCGCAGGCTGAAGCATTGATTGCTGAACGCATACTTGGCGAAGCCATGGATATCGCAAGTGGGGCTCGACGGCATTGAGGCGGCCTTGGGGCCCTTGGGGCAGCTATTCGTGAGGGTTGCTTTGAAGCCCGTGGGGGAAGAGAAGTCGGGTCGGGGGGGGGGGCGGGGGGGGGGTCGTGCACGCGTGGGGCGACGTGTGCAAATCATTCTTGAGCGGTGTCAGCTCCATCAAGGGTCAGACCGTCACGTTCGATGAGTGGAATAAGTATTCGGTCTCGAGCTGTGCAGGTGCAAATTCCAAGGCAATGCCTGCGGCGTCTGCCACGGCGGCGCTCAACGACCATAAGGGCCCTGCGTGGATTGCCAAGATGCTGGTTACTCGATCGGGTCCTTCGTAGTTCAGAAGCATGTTCCAGCCCAGAGGCTTTACGCTGTCTTCAGCATCGGCCATGCGGTCAAGCTTCACGAGGTGGTCAACCACGGCGGGGAGCCACGCGCGGCTGAAATTACATTGGAAGATCTCTTTGATAAGTGGTCGCTCTCAAAAGCTGAGCCGCCAAAGCAGATGGAGGGTGATCAGCAGCGGCCCCGTCAGTTGTACACCGACATGCAAAAGGCTATCTTGTACCGAGCTCTTCTCGAGCTAGACGCCAAGCACATGGGGATGCAAAAGCTGATCTTCTGGTGGAAACCAGATGGGGTTTGGGCCACGTGTGTGGTCAAGCAGGGTCAGCTTACATTGGTCCCAGTGGCACCGTTGGTCAACATGAGCTCGAAGAACGCGTCTAATGTGTCGGGCATGCCGCTTGGCGACAGCGCGATTGACAGCGGTGCGCCGCTTCATTTTTTCCCGGAAAGGGCTCAGGCCCAGGGTTCTCTTTTAGTATGTAAACATAGTCCCCGTGCCCAACTTGAAGGAGGCCGGCGGATTCTTTCCCTGATAAATATCGAGGTCGAAGGAGGCCGGCGGATTAAAATTTGAGGATGTCTCAGGCGAAACGCTTGTTTTTGAAATCCCGATCGATAAATCACAGGGTGCGGGCCACATTTTCGTGTGTTGAGGATGTCTCGAGCGAAACGCTTGCTCCGCAGAGATTGCCGAGGATGTCTCGAGCGAAACGCTTGTTTTGCAGAGCCGACCGCGACGCGGAAAAGCGCCCCGCGCGAAGGAAATTCGATGATGTCTCGACTAATTCGTTTGTTTTTGTACGATTTCCTGGAATTTTGGCAGGATGTATCGAGCGAAATGCACGACCCCACCCTAGCACGACCATACCCCAGCACGACCACACCCCAGCACGACCAGACCCCAGCACGACCCCACCCCAGCACGACCCCACCCCAGCACGACCATACCCAGCACGACCACACCCCAGCACGACCCGACCCCAGCACGACCCTACCCCAGCAAGACCACACCCCAGCACGACCACACCCCAGCACGACCTCACCACAGCACGACCACGCCCCAGCACGACCACGCCCCAGCACGACCACGCCCCAGCACGTCCACGCCCCAGCACGACCCTACCCCAGCAAGACCACACCCCAGCACGACCACACCCCAGCACGACCTCACCACAGCACGACCACACCCCAGCACGACCACGCCCCAGCACGACCACACCCCAGCACGACCCCACCCCAGGAGCACGACCACACCCAGTCGACCCCTGAATGTTTCGTGGGCGTGTCTGGTTGAGTGGTTGCCTGTTCGTGGGGTGTCTCGTGGAATGTTTCACGGGGTGTCTCGTGGAATGTTTCGTGAGGTGTCTCGTGGAATGTTTCGTGAGGTGTCTCGTGGGTTGTTTCGCGGGGTGTCTCGTGGGATGTTTCGTGAGATGTCGCCCAGTTGGGTATCGTGAAAACGTGACCATGCTGCACATGTCTTTATCCCTTTCCGGGTTCGTGGGTCCATCATGTTTGTTTTGCCTGTGCCGAAGCCAGGCGACAACGGCGCCAGCAAATTCGATGAAGCCGCGTTCGTGGCTGCGTACTGCTGGGTCGCGACAGCATACGATAAGAAGCAAGCCAACATGGCTACGAGCCAAGTGTCCCACGGTGGCATCATGCTGCCAGTGCTGACCAGCATTGCCGACGTCGGGCCGAACGTAAAGCTCCAGGTGTTCGTCAAGCCCAAGGCTAAGGCTGTGCCGGTCCACGAGGAGAGCGCCAATAAGCAGAAGAGGTCGTAAGCATCGCATTCAGCGCGGATGCTACATCAGGGGTGTGTTTTGTATCGCACGCGTTGCGTTATCCCAAGCTCTACGATTGAACCAGTCCAGCGCTATGCAGTGCTATAGTACATATGCTGCCGCGCCGTAGATAGGGGATGGGGTGGGGTGGGGTGGTGGTGGGGGGGGGAAGGAGGACATGAGACGAGGATTGGGGGCTGGGCGAGCCGTCGCACCGTCGGCCAGCACGAAGCTTTATGCATTGATACGTGCAAGCTGGCATGCCGATCAGCCAGGCGCTTATTAGGCAATTGATGCGGTGTTCTTGCGAGTAGCCATCGCGCCAGCGCCGTCAGAAACAAACGCAGTTCGAATCGGCTGTGCCCGATGCTGTCCCATTCTGGAGCTTCAAGGGGTAGCAATGGCCATGTGGGAGGAGGTGGGGGGATGGCGAGATTTAGCAAGGTGTAGATACGATTGCGTTTTCTCATTTGCTCGGGCGCAGCGAAGCGCGCTTCTGACTTTGCATCGGGCCTGAGGGACATAGCCTGCCCACCTTTGCCGTGCAACCGTCTGCCTGGCGCGCCCTGCCCTTGGATCGACCTATATTATGATAAATTTGACCCCCCCCCCCCCCCCCCCCCCCCCCCCCCACCCCCACCCCCCCCCCCCCCCCCCCCCCCCCCCCCCCCCCCCCCCCCCCCCCCCACCCCCCCCCCCCCCCCTCCCCCCTAATCGAAGTCCCCCCCCCCCCCCCCCCCCCCCCCCCACCCCCCCCCGCCCCCCCCCCCCCCCCCCCCCCCCCCTTCAGCAATGTTTTGGCTGGAACAACCGAGCGGGGAATAACGAGAGGGAAACGCGGAATACACGCAGGGGAAATGGGAAGGATGAAGGAGGGGATGAAGAAGGTATACGGGGTAGGCAGTGCACGGGAAGCGGGGGGGTACACGGGGGGTGTGGCATGGGGTACAAGGGGCACGGGAGTTGGGTATGGGGCATGCGGGTGGTGTATAAGGGGGTAGTACCTGCCGTGCACCCCCCCCCCCTTCCCCCCAATTTTCCCGCGCGCCCCGTGTGCCCCCTCCCGTGTACCCCCAGCGCGCTATATGCCTCCCGTGCACCCTCGCGCCCCCTCTCCTTCGTCTCCTGGCCCCGTATGACGTTGCCCCCTGCGTGTCGCGCTTCTGCGAAGTAACCGTAGCCGCGCAGGCTCAGGGGCAACCGAGCGTCTAGCATCGCGACTTGCTCTTAGCAATATGCAGACAGCTACGCTTGAACTTTCTCGAACTGTCAAGGTGGATGGACTCGAGCCAATTTGGCGGATTTTCAAGCCACATGATGTGACTACAGTGGGTGACGATACGTTTGTCTGAATCTCACCAGCGCTGTATACATTGAACAGCCTTGTGGCTTATGCTAATGATGGAGTCCCATCGGGACTGGGGCAACAGGTCGTAATTTTGAGTAGGGGGCTGAAGGCGTTGCTAGCCCAGCGGGAGCAGCAGCAGTCGGATGACTTCGCGCAGGAGCAGGAGCAGCGCGTGTGCAGCTTGTTTGAGACGCCACCGAAACAACCAAATATCGCCCAGTCCCACGCCCATAAGGCTGACATGAGGCGGGATCCTGAGGTCATGTGCTTGGACGTGGAAGTTAAAGGACGTGCTGTTCAAGTTGAGGTTCTGAGGCCTATTCATCCGTGTGACAACCTCTTTGTAGTGTATAAGCCTGATGCTTTGGCCGCGGTGATACGCATCATGAGGGGAATGGGGTTCGATGAACCGCAGGGGCGAGAGCCGGTGCCCAATAATGTTCACAAGAGGAGCGGCTTGTTCCTTGCCAAGTTTGATAAGGGGGATGGTGCGAACGGCTACAAGAAGTGCAAGACAAGCGAGGATACGGTTACTTTCCTATCTACCGATCCCTCAGAACATATCGGTGATGCTTGTAAGGGTGAAGAGGTTTCCCCGAGTGAGCTTCCCGACGACGGCGCGCCTGCGGAGTCAGAGCCAGGTCGTGGCTGAATTAGTTGTGAGCCACGTGGCTAACCATGCCCGCGTGCTTGGGGTCTGCGGGCTTCGCAATTTTATATGGATCCGTGCTGCGTCGATTGAAAAAGTCTTCAGACTGCATGTGGGCGCGTCAAGCCGCGTGGCTGCATGGGCGCGTGTCCGTGGCCCATCGGGCTCAGGATTGAGCGCGCGCGCGCTCGATAGCTTCTCGCTTGCTCGCGCGCTGACTTTGAAGGCTCCGGGGCCCGATATGGCTCCGAAGAGGCGCGCCCCACCTGGCGGCGTTGTCGATGCCGGCGTGGGCGCCGGGGTCGACCGCCTGAAGGTGGGGACCAGTGCCTTGAAGAAGGACCGTGCTTTTTGGAAGGAAAAAGCCCTTGGGCTCGAGCGCTTCGTCGCTGTCGCGGCAAACAAGTCGGGGCAGAACAAGCGCGCGAGGGAGGTTTTCATCGATGTCAGGCGGCTGTGGGTCGGCGCCTGCGCCGTGGGCGCGCAGACCAAGCCGACGCAGCCCGGCAGGCTGCAGCGCATCGCGGAGCTGCCCGAGGTCTTGCCCGGCGCTCGAGCACGGCTTTGGCGAGCTGCCGAGAGCTTTCATTCTCCAGCGCGCGTGAGTGGCACGCCATATCCATATCGCGTGGCGCTCGAATGCGCCTCCACGAGCGTCCGTGCGCTTCCAGTTAGCGGCTCCAGCGTCGACGCTGATCTCTCGAGCGTGGAAGTTTCAGCCCCGCGCTGAACTTAACTTTTGCATGCCGTCGTCATCAGGTGTCCTGATTGCTTTGGCTCTCATCCCCACGCGTCGTTGCATCATGTTGTGAACAACACAGGGCGGCCGGCGCTCCGATGTCACCAAAATTGGGGCCTCTTGGTGCCAAGCGTGAATTATACACATCCTGAACGCATACCACCAACACATGGAGCCCTGCGGCCCGATGCCACAAAAGAAAGGCTTTCTTGGTGCCAAGTCTAGATAATACACACCCAGAACACACCACCAAGACAGGGCGCCCGGCGTTCCGTGTCACAAAATCTTCGTTTGTTTGTGCCAAGCGTAGACTATACACACCCTGAACGCACACCACCAACACCGGGCGCCCGGCGCTCCGCTGTTACAAAATCTTCCCTTTCTTGGTACCAAGTCTAGATAGTACACACCCTGAACGCACACCGCCGACACAGGGCGCCCGGCGCTCCGCTGTCACAAAATCATCCTTTTCATGGCGTCATGCGTACATTATACACATCCGGAACGGGCACCACCAACACAGGGCGCCTGGCGCTCCGATGTCACAACGTTTTCGTTGTTTGGGCCAAGCGTGGACTATACACACCCTGAAACGGAGGGGGAGGGACCGTATTCTGTGGAGGAGGAGGAGGAGGAGGAGGAGGAGGAGGGATGATTCAGGAGGGATGAGGCAGGAGGGATGAGGCAGGAGGGATGAGGAGGAGGATGAGGCAGGAGGGATGGGGCAGGAGGGATGAGGCAGGAGGGATGAGGCAGGAGGGAAACGGGAGGGGGGGGGGATGATGATGATGATGATGATGATGATGATGATGATGATGATGATGATGATGGATGGATGATGATGATGATGATGATGGAGGAGGAGGAGGAGGAGGAGGAGGAGGAGGGATGAGGCAGGAGGGATGAGGCAGGAAGAGGAGGATGAAAGAGGCGGGAGAAGGGAGGCGGAGGGGGAGGAAGAGGGACGAGGGGCGAGGGAGGAGGTGGGAGGGGCAGGGTAGGTGCGCTCGCGTCATATCAGACGTCCTACCCCTCCCTCCCATCCCTTACCACTGCCGAGAGTCTAGATCCCCTCTCTATTCGCAGTCGGATAACGAGCAAGGCAATGATCTCGGGAGGGCGCGTGCGCGATGTGTGGAACAGCATGGCATAGCATGGCGCAGAAAAGCACGGCAGAGCGTAGCGTGCCATAGCATGGTGTGGCATTGCGTCGTCAAGCACTGCATGTCAGAGCGTTGCAGCGCAAGGCATGGCATCGCATAGCGGTGCACAACACAGCATCGCAATGCATGGGAGACCGATTTGGAAGGACCGAAGCGCGGGAATGAGGCCAGGATCGACGGAAAGGAGGCCAGCGCTGCAGCGGGAGCACGATTGGGAAGGACCGAAACGCGGGAACGAGGCCAGGACCGCAAAGGGGAATGAGGCCAGCTCTGCAGCGGGAGCACGATTTGGAAGGACCGGAGGCGATGATGTCTTTCACGGCCAGCTCGGACCCAGGAGGATCCTCGATCCTCGAAGTTCGAAGATCGAGGTTTTTGGAGGTTGTGTTGGCCCCTTGGGGGCCTCCAGAGGCCTCTGGGGGCTTCCGGGGGCTTGGGGGGGCTTCCGGAGGCCTCGGACCTGAGGACATCGTATTGAACGCCTACGGCACGGTGGGCGGATATTGTGACATCTGATTTGGCGCCACGTGTGTGGCGCTGTGTGCACAGTTGCACCTTCCCGAAGTGTAATATATCAGCATGGCGTCGAGGGCCCTGGTCGCGCATATGCCACGGCGCGGCATTCTTTCAAGACGTCGGATGGCTGGAAAGTGCTAATGGTTGTGGCAGTTTGCGTCCTTTGATTTCGTGGATCATCCCGCGCACCTGCATCCCACAAACGGGCAAATCGTGCACTCCACAGTGGTGATGGTTTTGGTGATGATTCTCGTCCCCGCTTTCCTTCCTCTACACATCACGACGTCCATTATCCATGCCTTCTTCCTTCTCCTCTCCGTTCTCCTCGTTCTCCTCGTCCTCTTCCGCAGACTGTTTGGCTCCAGCAGGGCCTTCGCAATCTGAAGCACACCCGCACATTCTGCGTACATCCTACAACTTCTGGTCGGATCACCTGTCCCGCAGATGGTCCGTCTCTTATTGATTGCCAGTCTTGTCGGGGCGCGCGGGGCCGCTGGCCTGGGTGCGGCCCCCGCCGATTCCAGCATGATACAGTGT